GGGCGGGGGGGGGGCGGGACACCCACCCTATTTTGGTGAAAAATCCCAAAAGACACCAAACCCTCCCAGTTTTGGGCTCGTTTCAACCAATTTAGGACTGCGAAAAACACAAAAATCGCCACCCGAGTGGCATTTTGGGTAGGTTTTCCCCAAAAAGCCACAGTTGAAAATGCAATTTGGTGGCCGATGCCGGGGCGGGGGGGTGGTTTCCTCGCTGCGTTTTGATGCCGAATTCAATTTTCCCCTGGTTTTGGGTGGGTTTTGGTCGGTTTTAAACCCGGTGGTATTTTAGGGGGATTTTAGCTTAAAATTTGCACCTGCTTCATCCCTGCCAGCGGTAAAACTCGCGGTGTTTAAACCCATTTTTAGCCATTTTCCTCCTCTTTCCGCCGATCACGGATGATGGTGAAGCTCGAGAACGTCCCGCTGAAATATTTGTGGTTTAATCAATTTTTTTTTTTTTCCCCTTATCCGGCTCCTTTTGCACGTTAATAATTGGGGTTTCTGGCAAAATTGGCGGATTTTTGATGGTTTGTAGCCAACGGGAAGCCAGCGTCACTACCCGGCGCCTCCAAAAATTGCTGAAACTGGGGGTGAATCCCCGCTTTGATGAACTTTTAAGAGGAGGCGGCGAAAGCGGCACAGAAAAAAAAGCGGAAACGGCTGGGAGACGCGGCAAAAATGGTGCAAAAAAGGCGCGAAACGGCACTGAGAGGCGCCGAGACAACGGCGTCGAAAATACTGTGAAAACGGGGTGGAAAAGGTGCAAAACGACACGGAGAGACGCTGCAAAAATGGGCGGAAAAGGCAAAAACGGCGCAGAAGAGGCATAAAAAGGGGGCAGAAAAGGCACAAAACACCGCGGAAACGGTACAAAGCTCTACGGAAAAGCCGCGCAAGTGGGTCAAAAAAACCTACGAATGGGCGAATTTTAAGCGGAACGGGGGAAATTTTAACATTTTCCTCCTTCCAAGCTCCAACCTCGAGGTCGGCGTCTTGACATCCTGCTGAAATTGGGCTTTTTTTTTTTTTTTTGTTTTTTTTTTTTTTGGCTTTTTTTAACAGCGTTTTGATTGAGCGATGGGATTTTGGGGGGAAAATGAGTCGATGTGACAGCAGCACGTGGGGACTTCGGGGACACGTGGGGACTTCGGGGGCACGTGGGGACCTCGAGGACTCCGCAGCGCACCCGGAAAGTTATTTTTTTTTTTTTTATTAACCCGCTGTCACAAACAGGCTGAAATCGGGATCGACCAAGCCCCTTTTTGGGCCGCGTTCCTAAAAACAGAGTCTGGGCACTGCGGTGGCGTTTCCCGGACCGTTTCCACCATTTTTTCCCCCAATTTTCTCAGTGCCTTTGACAACCCCCCTCCCCGATTGACACCCCCCCTCCCCGACTCTTTTTTTTCCCCTCCAAACTCAAGCGTTTTCAGCAAATTTCGATACCCATCACCCCGCAACGAGCTCTCGGCACAACAGGAACCCCTGAAGGCCGGCGGCCACTATCTCCTTTCTCCCCATGCTGGAAAACCGAGATTTCACCCCAAAAAAACCCCACTGAAAAATTTCATCTTGCCTTTTCTCCTCTTTTCCCATTTCCACCTGTTTTTTTCTGGGTCTAATAAACAATATTACCGTCTGCCTACCTCATTTTGGGGCTGAAATCATGCGTTTCGGCCGTCCCGTGCTCACCCACGCGTGGTTGTTGCTTTTATTTCCGCCCCCCGCCCCGACATCGACGTGGAAATGAACATTTTCCTAAAAAGCCGTTTCGGGACGTTCTCGAGCCCGTTGAACCCTGGCAGGTTGTGCCGCGGCCGCTGTTTCATCGGTAACTTATAATTTTTGCAGCGAAGCCGCAGACGGCGCTCGCTGTTGGGGTTTTTTTTTCGTTAAAACAGTATTTTGGGTGATGTCAACCAGCAAGGTCTTGCAGGGAAATATTAATTATAGCAAATAAATTAACGGCTCTCCTGGAGACGAAGGCGCGGCTGGACGAGCCCCGTCCCGCAACGGGCGGCCTGGGGCTGAATTAAATATAATCAAGGCTTTTTTTTCTTCCCTACCCCTTATAAAATTTCCTGCTTAATAAGCAAATCTGCGTGATCCCGTTAACGATTGACCTGATTCTTCCCCCGAAGCCGCTCTGTTAAATTTTGCTGCTTTTGGAAAACCGTTAACCAAACGGCACGGAATTTTCCCCGTTCGCGCAACGGGCGGCCTGGGGCTGAATTAAATATAATCAAGGCTTTTTTTTCTTCCCTACCCCTTATAAAATTTCCTGCTTAATAAGCAAATCTGCGTGATCCCGTTAACGATTGACCTGATTCTTCCCCCGAAGCCGCTCTGTTAAATTTTGCTGCTTTTGGAAAACCGTTAACCAAACGGCACGGAATTTTCCCCGTTCGTGCTATGGCTGCGCTTGCCCGGCGCCCCTTCGTTGCTCTTGCTCTCCTCCGAGCTCGTTTTGCTCCGCCAGCCGTTTTTTCCCCCCCAAAAAAGGGGTCGGAAACGTGGCTTTTTGGTTAAAAACTCCCCAATTTATTAGGGGAGTTTATTATTTATTCATATTTAATCTGCACAGAGAGCAAATTAAGCCCAAATCAGGTAAATCGCACGTTCACGGCGCATCCTTCAGGTGCTGCTGCTTTTTCTTTCTTTCCTCCGTTTTCTTCGTTCCCCTTTGGCCGCAGCAGCGACTGAGGGTTCATTTTGCCAATCTTCAGCAGCATTTTTTTCACCAAAAGGAGAGTTTTTCAGCCCATAAAAGGCCGGAGCTGCCTTGAGGGATCCCAGTCCCTGCCGATCCTCCAGCAAATCCCCGCCGGGGACGCCGCTTGAACCCCTCTTTTTGCAGCACTCCTCAAACCGCCGTTTTTCGCCCCATTTCTGCCAGTCCCTGCAATCCCAAACTGAGACTCGTTCCTCCCCGAAGAGGTGTTTTTCTCTAAAACACCGCCAAAATGGGCAAACTGGGTGCTGTCAACCCCTAAAGCAGATGCACGGCGAGGACAGCTTTCTGCAAATCCTCTCTTCCCACGTTGGCCCGTTCCTTCCCAAAATGAGGGGACATTGGGCTTAATTCCAGTTTTTAGGCTAATCGAATGCAACTAATTTAGGGCAAACACGGGGCGGTGCCCTTAGACCTGGCTTGACGTGAAAATAATCCATTTAATGGCTTAAATGGATTATTATTTTTTTTTAGGGAATTAAGTGAGTGTC